TCACCCAGGGTATTCCCAATCCATATCAATACCGTCAGCACCTGTTGCCTTGACCATGTCGGCAACATTCTGGGCCCACTTCCTCCGCGACTCCGGGGTGCGGGCAGCGGTGTCGAAGCCCTTGGTGTCGCTCCAGCCGCCAATGGCGACCATGACTTTGGTGCCAGGCATGAACTGTGTGCGGACCTTGTCAACGGTGGTGAAGAGGGGCCACTCGGCCACGTCTTTGTTGAAGGTATCCGAGTTCATGAAAGCCAGCTCCACGTGGGTGATGTGAGACACAAGCTCTCTAGAGGGGACGTTGGGGTGTTGGCTATGGCTTGCGTTAGCGGTTCATGGCCGTTTCTCTTAGCTACCTACCGAAGCCGCCTTGTGATGAGCTTTAGCGGAAGCTATTCACTTACCCAGTGAGATACATGACGCATTTGAGATCAGATGCAGCCTTTTCGGCGGTCTCCTGGGCAGAGGCCATTGCGACGGACTGCAGAAGTATGAGCAGACCGCCCAGAGCGGTGAACAGGAGCCTCATGTCTGTGTCAACGTGGTAAGGGAGGACGGCTTCGAGGTGTGGAAACTCTCGCAGGGCGCGGGCATGAGCTTGGAAATGAAGAATGGGAGCGAAAGGTGCAAGAGGGGTCCAAGGTCAGGAAGAGACAGTCAAGAGATGGACAGCAGACTTAAACACAGAGGAACAGACCAAAGAAAGCAAAGACGGGCGGCACAGAATGGAAACGACAGGTGAATCAGTTGCCGGCTGTCCGATGTTTCCTCAACTTCCTCTTTTCGCCGGGATCTTCTCGGTGCAGGAACCCCGCTGTGGCGGATGCGCCCCAAGGTACCCTACCTTAGGTGCCTCGGTTTCCCACCTATCTGGCAGTGGAAGGGAGGTAAGGTAGGTACCTTACAGTACTTCAGGACGGTGCTCTCGTGGTGTTTGGCGGCATTGGCGCACCTGCTTGCCCGGGGGGGGGGGGGGGGACCCGCAGCAATTAACCTTAAGGCAACGGGACGTTCTTTCCAAGGCGGGGAGATACGAATATTCGGGAATCTCTCAACCCAGTGGAAGGCACCTTGGAGACATTGAAACAGAATACCCTACGTTACCTTGGGTCAGACAAGGTACATCCCAAAGATGGTAATTAGGAACTCGGTTTTATCCATCCCAAGGCCGGAAACCTCAAGCAAAGTAAGTACCTATTCTCAAAACTGAAAAGAGGTGCAGCAGGTGGAATACAATAGTGTACGTGTCAACAATCCTCATTGTATCCGCGCCCGAGGTGTCTGCTCCAGATCAATTGACAATTCTGCCGGTGGGACAATTTTCAAGTCGCCGGATCACATGGGCCAATAACCGACTGCCCGGCTGGTGTGTTGCAGCGAAGGGAACCCGACCATGGAGCTTGAATATAACTTTGATGCAGAGGGACGAACCCATTTGCATCCCTGTACCACAATAAGATAGTGAAATTACTTGCTGATACGTACTTCATGCCTGGAAAGCTAAAGGTACCCATAATATCCGTAAGGTATTCCAAGTTCCCAACTGTCCAGTCCCTTGTTTGTTTTGAACCGGCAATAAAGAGACATGAAACTGAGCGCTCGGGTGTTCTGCGTTTTGTGGCTTCTAAACATTGTACGGAGTACGTGCTCGGTGCATACGGTGTATCCCCCAAGGTATGCAATTGCATGCCGACCAGGTCCTCCCCCGGTCCGTCCTTCACCTTGACCAAAAACAACCTAGTGTCTGGTCTGCGCTTCGGTGAGAGCTCTGGTGGGGTCCCTCAACACTCGGTGAATCTTTCACCTCGAAAATTTCATCCCGCCTGCGCGTGTCTAAGTCAAGCAGCCTTCTTCCTGCTTCAACCTGTAATCCGCCTCGACTCATTTTCCCGCGACCTCCTTCTCACACTGCCGCATTTGTTTCCTTCAGCAGAGACCCTCCTGCTCAATTGATGCAGCAATCATGTTTGAGAACCTCTGCACCCTCCCCCTCTCCGCCGAGGTCTTCACCCAGGTTCTCCATCCTACCGCGCCGCTACTGACCGTTGGCTTGTCTACCGGCCATGTCGAAACCTTTCGCCTCCCTTCCTCAGGCGACAACGAATCCGAAGCTTCCGATGAACCGGATACGAGTATAACATCGACCGGTCGGGGGGCTATCGACAGCGTCTGGCGCACAAGGCGTCACAAGGGAAGCTGTAGAGCCCTGGCCTACAGCCACGATGGTTCTGGTAAGTAGCTATGCTTCTAATGCGCTGCAGATATCAATGGAATATCCTCCCCGAAACCCTAGCTGACTTGTGTTTTTTTTTTGGAATCGCTAGCCCTCTACTCCGCCGGTACCGATGGCTTGATCAAGCATTTCTCCCCTACGACTGGCAAGGTTATCTCCAAAGTCATCATTCCCTCCTCGAACAAGCAGATCGACGCCCCGACGCTCATGCACGTCCTGAGCCCCCAAAGCCTCCTTCTCGGCTGCGACTCCGGAGCGATGCACATATTTGATCTGCGAGACGGCGTCCCCTCGGCTAAGCCTGCGCAGACACACTTCCCTCACTCCGACTACGTCTCTGCCATAGTCCCGCTGCCTCCATCCGCCGAGAGTACCTCTGGCTTCTCCAAGCAATGGGTCTCTATCGGCGGTACGACACTCGCTGTTACAGATGTGCGCAGAGGCGTTCTCGTCCGCTCCGACGACCAAGAAGACGAGCTGCTATCTGCTGCCTACGTCCCCGGCCTCGGACCCAAGAACAACAGAAACAACGGTATTGTCGCCGTCGGCTCCGGTTCCGGAGTGGTCACGGTCTGGGACAAGGGTGCATGGGATGATCAACAAGAGCGCATCATTGTTGACGGCGGAAAGAGCGGCGGCGAGAGTTTGGACGCACTGGCATTGGTCCCTGAAGAGCTCGGGCTGGGGAAGAAGCTCGTCGTTGGCCTTGGTGACGGAAGCCTCCGGGTGGTTGACTTGGTCACTAGGGAAGTCGACAAGTCCCTGAACCTCCGACACGATGACGTTGAAGGTGTCATTTCCGTTGCCTTCGACTCTCAAAACCGCCTGATAACGGCCGGCGGTAAGACTGTGAAGGTGTGGGAGGAGCTGTCAGAGCTTCAGGGCGAGGCCGAAGGCAGTGATGAGGATAGCGATAGCGGTAGCGATGACGAGACCTCTGGTAAGCGTCGAGCAGACAGTGACAGCGACGATGATAGCGACAGTGACGACGACTCAAAGCCGCGAAACAAGCGCCAGAACATGGGAGCCGACAAGCTTGGTCCCATGGGCGCGCACGGCATTCTAGGCTTTGACGGTTTGGACTAGTTTGATGTCTTCCATCTATTTAATGATACCCTCCAGTGCCATCTGTAGAAAAGGATGAGCCACCAATGGAACCAATTCAACTCTGTTGCACCGTGATGAAGCCGTGACTTCTACTTCCGGCGTTTGGCTATCCTGGAAGATCCATGCCTCTCGAAGAAGGAGACCGAGCATGTCCTGGCGGCAGTGACGGCCTAACCACAATAATTAGAGAGCTTGGGGACAGTTGACGAGAAATCTCCGTCCTCCTTCCGGCCTATCTGTCGATTGCCGACCTTCAACGCCGGACCCGGGACTTGAGTAACCTCCGCAGCGGTCGGACCCCGCTCCCCGCCGATGACAAACAACTGACAGAATAAACGGCAAGCTTCCTGCATAAACGCACTCATGTCTTCCTTCACGACCTTCACGACATCCACCAGGAATCGTTTCGCTAAACAAAGGCACTGATTAAGTAGCTGCCGTATGCCATGGACGCCATTAATCCCTTCATCTTTGGCATTACCACCCCCAAGGTCTTGTTCGGACCGGGCACCGTCAATGAGCTACCCGGCGAACTCAAGTCCCGCAAACTTTCAAAACCTCTCATCATCTGCTCCCCGTCTCGGACTTCTCTGGCCAAAACGATTGAGGATAACTTGAGAGAAGCGGGTTTCTCAGACGTTTACATCCTCGACACTGCCATTGTTCATAACCCGAGCGATATCATCGGTCCCGCGGTTGACCGAGCACTGGGCCGCGATGTTCTCGTATCAGTTGGAGGCGGCAGTGCCGTCGGTCTAGGGAAGGCGATCGCTCTTCGCACCGGCATGCCCCAAGTGGCTATTCCGACAACGTACTCAGGCTCCGAGATGACACCCATCATTGGAGAGACAAAGGATGGCAAGAAGACGTCAACAACAGATCCCATGATCTTGCCCAAGGTGGTCATCTACGACGTTAACCTGACCATGGATCTGCCGGTCAAAGTCAGCGGTCCGAGTGGTCTCAACGCCATGGCACACTCATGTAGGCCACCCATCCCAAGTGTCAACCTCAAGCTGGAACTGACATATGATCCAGTCGAAGCATTGTACTCCCGCCAAGCTAGCCCGATGACGGACCATTTTGCTCTGGAGTCCATTAGGGCACTGTCAAGCGCCCTACCCGTACTCGCGTCAGACCCTTCCTCGGTCGAGGCACGCACCTCGGCTCTGTACGGCGCATTCCTGGCCGGCTTGTTGGCAGCAGCAACCGGCATCGCCCTGCAGCATAAACTGGCTCACGCGGCCGGCGGCACTCTGAACCTCCCTCACGCCGAGACACACTCCATCTTCCTGCCCCATAGTATGGCGTTCAACGCGCAGGCCTTTCCCGAGGCCACTAGAACCAGGCTCTCCTCCGCCCTTGCGCAGAGTACTGGAGACTCCACTGCGGGCATAGTAGCCGGTCTAAATCACTTACTTCGAATCTTGAATATACCCACGGGCCTCAAGGATATCGGTATGCTGGAGAAAGACATTGATCGCGTTGCTGACGTTGCATCCGATAAGCCGTATTGGAACCCCCGCCCTCTGGAGAAAGGCGCGATACGTGAAATCATCCGTAGAGCGTGGGCAGGGGAGCAGGCAAAGACTGATCTTTGAATCAAGTTGAATTGGATTCCTTCTATTTCTCTTCCTTTTGCTTCTGATGTCTATGTGGTCTACGCGCCGGGTCTCGAGTAGTCCAATGTTCTCACTCGCTTCCACGTCTCCCGCACCACCCTCTCCTGTGCCTGTCGTGCCGTCTCGGTCTCGGTCGATCCTGCGGGCCTGTGTAGTGTCAGCAGTGTTTTGGACTTCGCCTGAGGGCTCGACAAACCGAATGGCGAGGTATAGTCTGCCGCCGAGCTTCGCTTCCGGGACGACGCTCGTGTCTTCGGGAGGGTTTGCTATTGTCACGAGACCACCGGCCTCCTCGAGGATCGCGAAGCCTGCAGCAACGTCCCTAGAGCAGTGATATCAGTTTCCATGACCTATGGAGTCCGTGATAGTCGGGCTAGCTCACCATTCCCAGCATCCGCCCTCCCACCAAATGTCGAATGATCCCATTGCTGTGTATGCCAGATCCAGGGTAGCACTGTAACGTCAGCAAGCGCGACCACCTATGGCATGTCACGCAGCAGACTTGATCGAACTCACCTTCCCAAGCTCCTCATGCCATGCACCATGCCACCCTTACCACCCCGCCCCTTACGCTCAGCAGCCATGTTCATGAAGCTCTCGACCTTGCGGTGCATGTTGCCATCTGGGGTGTCTCGACGGTCCTTGCCCCATTCACAGGAGAAAACGCAGCCGCTGGGCGCATTGGCGGGCAGCGGGTTTAGAACAAGCGGCAGCCTCTGTGTCTCGTTCATCCATGCACCATGTCCCTTGAGCGACGAGAAAGTTTGGTTCAAGAAGGGGGCGTTGATGACGCCAATGACGGGCTTTCCCTTGATAGCGAAACCGATGGAGACGCAGAACATTGGGAACAGATGGGTGAAGTTGACGGTGCCATCGAGGGGATCGACGATCCACGTCGGCCGTTCGTCGACGAGGTAATCACGCGATGCGCCGGCCGAATATGTCTCTTCGCCGAGAAAGCTGCACGTTTATCAACATCACACTGTCCGAGACATTGCAAAGTCGAAGATGAAGGGTGAGTCAACTCACTTGTGGGTGGGATACTTCTTTGCGACGGATGTATGGATGAAAGCTTCGACTTCTAGTAGTGGGCGCCGGTGCTGTCAGCAAGAGACAAGTTGCCTCAACGAGCATTGGGACATGGGCAAATGCAGAGCCGACGGAAACAGACCTGTGTCTGTCTTGGTCACCAAATCGACCGAATTATCCTTCTCCGTGAATGCCTGCGTCTCTCCTCCGGATCCCCATCTTGACCTGGCTGCCGTCATGAGCATCTCTCCTGCCTCTTTGCCCAACTGGACGGCAAAGTCGTAGATTTCGCGGAGCTCGGCGTCGCTGATGTCGGCCATTTTGATGGGTTCTATGATTCGGGCGATCTACGACTGGAAAGATTGGTTGAACAGGCTGTATGGGAAAGCTACCTTACGAAGCAGGCAAGTGAAGAAATGCAAGAGTCAGAAAGAAGAAGAGTTGCGTGAAACTGCGAGCAAGAGCAAGAGGCAACGAGACAAGCTGTCCGCAGTCGGCACCGGCACCGGTTCACCTAAGGTAAGGTAGCTAGCGTTAATCAGAGCACCTGCTAAGCTGCAAATCGTCTCGGTGGTGACTCGACGGCTGGGCCGCCGCCAACCGAAGAATAAGCCACTGCGGAAGCACTGCGGATGACGTCCGGTGCTCTATCAGCGGGGCATCCCCGCATAGGACCCCGCCTAAAGAGCCCAAAAATGGTCCTCTAGGCCGCTATCCGGAAGGAAAAGGTACCTGAGGCCAAGGAACACTGCCAAAAGGTCCATTACTAAGGCTGGTGGTGGTGGTGGTGGTGGTGGACTTCCGAGAAAGGAGGGGCACTCACTCACTCACCATCTCCCGTCTGCAACATTGCTGCTTTGGGGATTCTAAGATGAGTGAAAGCGGAGTGAAACACAGAGAGGGATGATGACCTGGGTCTTATATGAAATGACGTGGTGGTTCCCTTTGCAATCACGTAAACACTGGTGAAGCTTTCACGTAGGTGCATCCCGAGAAGTCAACGAATTGTGAAGTCAGAGTCTCAGTGTATCTCAAATCTAGGCGTGGAAATTCATCCATGTTGACTGACTTTAATTCTACCAAGATACCAAAAAGAGCCCCCAATTGATCAGGCTTACTCCAAGACTAAGACTACCTTAGCATATGACAGGAACCATTCGCCGGACACTCTGCACTAATACTGCGCGACAACTCTTTTGAAATCCAAGAATTTGAGGACAATTCTCTACGACCAAAGCTCGACAAATAGGTTCACACACACACCACACCTCCACGAACATGAGATCTCGACAAGGCTTTTGAAATAGACAGACTTCATGAGATCACGCACGCGGAATCAATAAGCGGGAGTCAATATTGATCTGAAGATTTCAATAAGATTATTGGTTTCGTCAAAGAAAAAAAGAAACAGTAGTGTAAATACTATACAATCGCTATGCAAAATGTTCATTCTTCATGCCGTATTATCCCCTCATAGTGACGCCGTGACCTGTGCTGATGGCTCTTCTACTCTCAGCTTCATGTCTCTCACGAGCTTAGACCAAGCGACAGCTCCTCTCTTTGCCAATTCCTCGGGCACACCGTGGTCCTCCTCTGACATCCTCCTGTTGAACAGCTCAAAGCTGACCCAGCCCTCGAAACCGAGACCCTGGAAGATGGCGGCGCAAAGTTCCCGGACGGGCAGATACGCGCCTCTTGAATACTCGCCATAGAATAGACGACAGTTTCTTGACCAAGACATGCGGTGCGGCTGTTCGGCGTTGTAGTAGGGATGCGTTTCGCAGATAGGCTCAGCAAGACGCTCAGCGTCGACGACCTGCACGTAGATAATCTTGGAGACGTCGACAGTCGTGAGCAACCGTTGAATAGAGTCCTTGACAGCTTGCTCGGCATCAACGACCTTTCCGGAAGCCGCGGTAGGGTCCGCAAAGATGCGGCCAGCAATGTTAAACGTATCGAGGCACATGCCAAAGTTGGGCCTGTCGACCCGTTGGATCACCTCCCAGCACGTCTCCCAAACATCCACTCTCGTTCCCCAGGAGAGAGACTCATATGAGAACTGAATAGGGGGGTTGGACGCAGCACCAATGTCTGCTACTTCAGCAAGGTCGGCAATGTGGAGTTCAAGATCCTCAGAAACCTGCTCCGCGGGCAAGACGTTGCTGGGAATCTGGATCAAGTCTGTGCCGAGAACATGGGCAAGCTGGATCCAGACACGCAACTCCTCGATGCGGCGGGCGTGCTGCTCCCGGTCGATGAGTCCCTCAAAGTGTTGGAAAGGCTGAAGGCAGATAATCTCGATATTGCGGACGTCGCACATTCTCTTGACAATGCCAGCAGCAGCGAGCTGGTTGTCAATCAGGGCAGCACCACCGGGCAACTGCTCGGCAACGTCCATGAGATCCTCGTGCCAGAGCTCGATGCCCTGGTACCCATACTTGGCGGCCATGTCCATCTTGTGCTCAAAGCTGTGGCCAGCCCAGCATCGGCCGAGCGACATTGTGCTGATTCCTAACCGGGAAGGCATTGTGATTGTGTGTGAGAGAGATGTGAGCTTGTTGACGATAAAATAACAAGGGTATCGAGTGCGGATGAAATGCGAAGACAACACAAAGACAATTGGGTAATAAGGTGTTATGTGTCGTTCTGGTATTGAGGAGTAGCAAGAAGGACTTAGAAGGAGGATGGAGGGAGTATCTGGTCCTAAAGAGGTGGACGTCTACTGGTATACATTTGCCCTCGGCAGCAGGGGATCGGGAAGATTATTTGCAGCTCTGGATTCCCGTATCTAAGCAGAATGGTAATGACAGACCCATACGGCAACTCTTTCGCAGAGAACGGTAGGCAGCTCTGCCCAATGATCTCGCCTGCTGCCATACTGTATCCGGGTCACACTGGACGCCCGAGGGGCAATGGAGGGAGGAGGAAAGTCATTCACCCGCCAGCTACCCCATCTTGTCGGCGTCAGATGTTTTGCAAGCATACCGATCTGGGGATTTCTGGGGCACCCGAGGGTAGCCGGACCAGTCTGAATGACGCGCTGCCGCACGTCTTCACACTCCGAGCCTGTGGTAGCGGCATGTACGATGGCCATCATCAAGTGTGGTGGTTGATGGGAGGCGGAGGAAGTTAGACTGACGGCTGGTGACGTTGAACCTGTCAGGCGCTGCCGGTTGTCAGGAAGAACACTTCTCCAGATCACAGGATAAACGTTCTTCAGACTGGCACTCGGATGAGTGGGAGCACCAAGCGAACAGGGGGGCGGGCGTCTTTTGTGTCGTATGCCCACCATTCCGAGGCCCAGACTGTCCGGCACTTCTCACTGGCTGTTGGCTGGAGAGTTCTTTGCCGGAAGTCCCTCTTAGAAATCGCGGCGAGATGCCGATGGGAAAAGCCCTGATACGGATTCCACGCGATCTCGAGAAGCCCGTCCCAGTGCCCCGGACTTTTCCCCGTATTCCGCAAGAATGATTAATTCGATACAGCTACCATTGGACCGATGAAACTCCATTTGGAGACAAGAAGAAGGGACTAAGAGCGAGGCACAAAAAGTGGCTTCCATCAGACCCTAGTTCCCCCCAAATTCTGCGGTTGACAATTCCCACCGGATTTTAGACTAAAAAGAGCCCTGGTTTTCTCCATTTGTTGCGTCTCGCCATAACGCCATTCCTACCATTCTTCAGTCAGTTGCACAGAAGAGCCTTGCATATACCATTCGAAACTACCAAGCAAGAGAGAAAGAGAGACAGACAACCCTGGATCTCATCCTGATATCACTCACTTCCTAAACTCAACCAACTCACATTAAGCAACAATGGCGAGTGCTACCCCCATCGACCAGGTGGAAGACACTATTGCGGTCAAGATTGAGCAGCTTGACCGCCACGGTTACCTGTTTGGCCAAAAAATCACACATTCCCTGTCACCACTCCTGCACACCACCATTTACGAGGGTATTGGCCTGAACTGGGAGCAAATGAGACTGGACTCGGCAGACTTGTCACTGTTTCTGGAACTTATCAAGCACCCCAAATTCTACGGCAGCTCAGTCACCATGCCCAATAAGGTTGCTATCATCCCTCACCTCGACGAGCTGACGGATGAGTGCCGCGATGTTGGCGCCTGCAACACACTCTTCATCAGAGAACGCGACGGCAAGAGGATATACTGCGGCACCAACACGGACGTTATCGGCGTCCGTGAGTCTTTTGTCCAGAACGTCACCGACCCGGATGCCGTCTACCACAACAAGCCAGCTCTTGTTATCGGAGGCGGCGGTGCGGCCAGAAGTGCCGTCTACGCTCTGCGCAAGTGGATGAAGGCCACCGATATCTACCTCGTCAACCGTGACAAGAGCGAAGTCGACGCAGTCATCGAGGAGTGCTCCGCGCGGGGATATGGAGACAATCTGTATCACGTCTCCACCGTCGAGGAGACGAGAGACCTCGAGGCCCCTGGCGCTATTGTGGCGTGCGTGCCCAACTTCACTCCCAAGACTGCAGAGGAGATTGTAGCACGTGAGATTATCGTCGAGTTCCTGAACAAGGATCGCAAGGGTGCTATCCTCGAAATGTGCTACAACCCCACGCCCTACACAGAAATCGGTGCTCTCGCAGAGGATGCCGGCTGGCAGGTGATCCTGGGCACTGAGGCCATGATCTACCAAGGTCTTGAACAGGTCAGTCAGCACAAAATCTGAATTCCATCTACCATACACATCTCTAATATCTTGATAGGACCGATACTGGACTGGCAAGGAGGTTGACGAACTTACCGTTCAAAAAGTAAAGGATGTGATTGCCGCAAAGCTGTCACAACACTCAAAATTGTAAAACAATAATGCTCACCATAGACGCCTTGCATAGCTAGATTCTCAGCGACTGTTTTAAGCAAAGATGACTTTGATGAATGTTCATAGATTGATGATGCTCTTCCTATCTTACCTGAGTGAATGGTGCTTGCATCCAAAATACACACCGCATTAACCTCATGCATAAATAAGTTGGGCAGTATCTCCTGGCCATTTGTGCATACAACCATTTTCACAATTTCTGTCAACTTGAGCTGGGCTTGCGCCCCGTGTTTAGGTAGGCACGTAGGCTAAGTGTTTGGATGGTCTTTGTCCTTTCAATGCAAATTGGTATAACACACACCAAACAGGGACTGGTGAGCTGCCGGGTAAAAACTTTCCCACGAGCTGGCACACACTAAGAAGATCCCCATAATTCTCCACATTACGCCTGTCCGCGTGATCTATCTGGCCTGAGCGGCGGATCAGCATAGCCGCTGAGCCCAGAGCCCCAGATAGTATCGTCCACGA